GTATATATTATATAATATATTATACATATTATATATATGTATAATATATATATATATATATGTATACACACACACACACACACAAACTGATAGTTAAGTTCAAATGCATTCTAAGAGCTCTACATTGTTATTCCCCCCTGAAGGTTTGTTTTGATGTCATATTTTACATCTTTATATGTATCCCTTAACTGTTTATTGTAATTATAGTTGATTTTGACTTTACAAACTTTTGGTTTTAATCTTAGTACTAACTCTTTTAAGTACTTGATCCACTGCCTTTACTCTATATTTGCCTTTATCAGTAAGATTTTCTTCCTTCATATATTTTACTTTTTATTACAGCCTTTTTTTTTCACTTGAAAAAGTCCCTTTAACGGTTCTTATAAGGCTGGTTTAGTGGTGATGAATTGTTTTAGTTTTTGCTTGTTGGGAAACTCTTTTTTTTTTAAATACATCTTTATTGGAGTACAATTGCTTCCCAATGCTGTGTGAGTCTCTGTTGTACAACAAAGTGAATCGACCATATGCATGCATATGTCCCCGTATCCCCCCCATCTTGAGCCTCCCTCCCACCCTGCCTATCCCACCCCTGTAAGTCACCACAAAGCACCGAGCTGATCTCCCTGTGCTATGCGGCTGCTGTTCTTTCAATTCTGAATGATAACGTTGCCAGGTACAGTATCCTCGATTATAGGTTTTTTCCTTTCTTTCAACACTTTAAATATATCATGCCACTCCCTTCTGGCCTGCAAGTTTCTGCTGAGAAGTCAGCTGGTGCCGTGTGGGGTTGCTCTTGTATGTGTCTCTTTGCCTTTCTCTTGCTGCCTTTAAAATTCTCGCTTTAACTCTTGCCATTTTAATTATTATATGTCTTAGTGTGGATCTCTTTGAGTTCATTTTGTTTGGGACTTTATGTGCTTCCTGGATCAGATGCTTCCTTCTTCAGGTTAAATTAAATAATTTTCAGCCATTATTTAATCAAATACATTTTTTGCCCCCTTCCTCTCTCTTTTCTCCTTCTGGGAACCCTATGATGCAAATGTTAGTACACCTGACGCTGTCTCTGAGGTCCTTTAAACTATCCTCATTTTTTAAAAGTTATCTTTCTCTTTTTGCTATTCTGATTGAGTGATTTACACTATTCTGTCTTCCAGGTTGCTAAGGATTCTTCTGTTTCATTCTTCTGTATCACTTACTCTACTGTTGATACCCTCTAGTGTATTTTTCATTTCAGTTATTGTATTCTTCGGCTCTGATTGGTTCTCTTTTACATTTTCTGTTTCTTTGTTACAGTTGTGTGCTCCTCTAGTCCTTTCCCAAGGTGGGTGAACATTTTTATGACCATTGCTTTAAATTCTTTGTTAGGTAACTTACTTATCTCCACTTCTTTTGGTTTTTCTCCTGGAGTTTTATCTTGCTCTTTAATTTGGAAAATAGTCCTCTGTCATCTCATTTTGTTTGACTTTCTCTGTTTGTCTCTGTGAAATTAGGCAAAACAGTTGCCTATCCTGAGCTTGATTTGTGTCCTTATGTGGGAGCACCCCTGTGCGGTCCGTACATGCCCAGTGGCTTTGGTGGGAGAGCTGAATCTGAAACAAACAGGGGCAAGGGTTTTCCTGGGGCATTTCAGGCCTGTCGCCTTGGTGGGGGTTTGGGGGTTGGAGATGAAGGGGCTACAGTCAGAGCCCCATGTGAGCCAGGGCTTCTCCTGGGCCACTGGCAGCTGCTGCCTTGAGGGGTGGGGGGCTGGAGCCAGAGCATGGCGGGGGCTACAGCTTCTCCTGGTGCAAGCTGGAGGCTGCCACGTGTTCAATTTTTTCCACAAATGCCAAAAAACATAGTGACTATGGGAACAAAGGAACAATGATCCCAATAAATTATACTCACTGTGTTGAAATTCTGATAATCCCATGCTTAAGATGACCAGAAAGGAACACAGGTCAAAATGATTATCAAATAATTACTTCATTTTTTTTTTAGAACATAAGAAATTTTTCTTCCTGAAATACACAGCAATTTAGGGAACATTACCCCAGAGTGTGAGAGACGACAGAAGAAGGCACTCCTGATATTTAAAAATAAGGCGCATCACATTCATTAGGATGGCTGTTCTCAAAAACAGAAAATAACAAGTACCAGCAAGGATGTGGAGAAATTGGAACTCTTGTGCTGGTAGGAATGTAAAATGGCACAGCTGCTGTACAAAACTGTATGGTGGTTCCTCAAAAACTTAAACATAGGATTACCATGTGACCCAGAAATTCTACTCCTGAGTATATACCCAAAAGAATTGAAAGCAGGGAATCAAACAGACATTCATACACCCATGTTCATGACAACATTATTCACAGTAGCCAAAATGTGGGAGTGAAACAACCCAAGGGTCCATCAACGGACGAATGCTTAAAGCAAATGAGTTATATACACACAATGGATTATTATTCAGCCTTTAAAGGGAGGAAATTCTGATACATGCTGCAACATGGATAGACTTTGAAAACATTACGTTACTGTAATAAGCCAGTCACAAAAGGACAGATTTTGTATGATTCCACTTATATGAGGTAATTAGTGTAGTCAGAGTCACAAAGACGAAAAGTTTGTGAATGGCGCTGAAAGGATTAGGGGGAGGAGGGGGGTAGGGGGTAGGGGGGGTAGTGTTTAAAGGTACAGAGTTTCAGTGTGGGAAGATGAAAAAGTTTTGGAAATGGATGGTGGTGATGGTTGCACAACAATGTGAATGTAGTTAATGCCACTGAACTGTACACTTAAAAATGGTTAAAATGGAAAAGTTTATGTTATGTATATTTTACCACAATAAAAAAATGTAGAAATCCTGTTAACTGTATGTATACTGCAATATATATTCATACTTTAAAAATTTATAAACATACAACTTTAATTTTGCTTTATCCCATGGTTGGTGGTGATAGTGCCTTACATTTTATAAGTAAAAGAGGGAAGAGAGAATAAATTAAATTATAATAAAAATCTGAGTATTAGGTAGTTGCATATATACTGCAGTAATTTTGAGATAAGGTTAGCCAAAGATGTTTTTACTGAAATAAATATCTAGTCAAAAGCCTAAAAATGCATACCTGTTTTTCAAACCAAATAAATAGCAGAAAAGAAATCTATTAAAGCTAAGTCTATATATTCTGAGAAATATTACATGTACTATCTAATAATTAAAACACTTGAAAAGGTATGATTCAAATACTAAACAATATTGTTTTTCCTAAGATGGAATCATATCCGAGTAATATATAATCACTTGGCAAAACACATTTCTACCCAATAGAATACTTTTGTTGATGTATTCGAGAAAAGCTACTTAGCAAAAAAAACTGGTTTTTGATCGTGTTAGCACCTCCCTCAAACACTGGCGTCCTGGAAACACATACAGACTTGGTATTTAATTATGGGACATCAAGGGGAAAAAAATTAAGACTCAAAAGTCAGTGTGGGGGGCTGGGGGGATAGGAGAAACAAGGACAAGGTGTGTCCATACCTTGTAAACATCCATAAACACTCAAGGAATTTCATTTTTCTCTTCCAGGTACCATAACGTCTTGGGTAGTGATTTTTATTCTGCCTATCAACAGTGCTTTGAACCCAATTCTCTATACGCTGACCACAAGACCATTCAAAGAAATGATCCATCAGTTTTGGTATAACTACAGACAGAGAAGATCTATTGACAGCAAAGGAAGTCAGAAGACATATGCTCCATCGTTCATCTGGGTAGAAATGTGGCCCCTGCAGGAGATGCCTTCTGAGCTAATGAAGCCAGCTCTTTTCACAGACCCCTGTGAATTATCACTCATTTCTCAATCAACTAGACTCAATTCCTATTCATAACCGACTGAAACCTATTTCTACACAGAGAATATTGTGGGATGCTTTATGATGGATTAGTATAAAATAAATGCCACCAAATAATTTATAATAACGGCTACAATAAATTAGCTTACATGGACATGAGGTTATTTGGGAAAAAATCAAAATGACTGATGCCCATGTAAAGGGAAATAAATTATATTGATAATGTGTATAAACTGGTACATAGTTTGGATAGGAAACTAAGAGAAATCTACTTCAAGGTTCATTCATTCTTTCACCATGCATTTATTGAGTACCCACTATGTGTATGGCACTGCAGTAAATTCCTGGGAGTAGACAGTATAGAAGCTTTTCAATTTGCAATGTTAAGTTGTATTTAACTACAAGAATATAAAAAGTCCATCTGCAGCTCCTAGTTTAAGGTAGAGCTTTGTCTGTCTTGCTTACCAGCAAAAGTAAGAATCACAGACACTTTTAAATAAAGGTTCACGGTTTTGGAATAATCAGTATACTAGCATCAGAGAAAATGTCTGATTATTAGCAAAGTACAGACATTTTGTCTTAAGAACTCATCTTACCTCTCTTCAAGTCTGTATACTTGAGAGCCAATAAACATATTTATTACTATGAAAAAAGAGCTCTGATATTAACCCAAAACAGCACCTCTCTGTCACTTCCTTCCCAGTTGTCTTTTTGCTTTAAATGAGCACCATTATATGAGATCATAAAAAGAGAATAAAAGTATGGCAAAGGAATGAATCAGAAAAGCTAGAACAAGGATAGACATTTAGATCAGTGGAACAGAAGTGAGAGTCCAGAAATAAAACCCTCATATTTAACAGTCAGTTGATGTTCAACGAAGATGCCAAGACAATCAAATGGGGAAAGAACAGTTTTTTCAACAAATGGTGCTGGGACAACTGGATATCCATATGCAAAATAATGAATTTGGACCCCTACCTTGCACCATATACAAAAATTTACTCAAAACAAATCGACGACATAAATATGACATGAATCACTTAGAAGAAAATATATGGGAAATCTTCCAAACCCTGGATTTGGCAATGGATTCTTAGATATAACAACAAAAGCATGAGCAACAAAAGGAAAAAAAAATGGATAAACTGGACTTCATCTAAATTAAAACCTTTTGTGCATCAACAAACATTATTAAAAGAAGTGAAAAGACAACCTTCAGAATGAAAGAAGTTTCATTCATATATCTGAGAAGGTTTAATGTCCAGAATATATAAAGAACTCTTATAACTCAACAAAAAAGACAAGCAACCCAATTTATTAAATGTGCAAAGGACCTGAATAGACTTTTCTCCAAAGAAGATTCATAAATGGCCAATAAGCATGTTCAATATCACTAATCATTAGGAAAATGCAAATTAAACTATAATGAGATAATACTGCATGTACTAGGAGGGCTATAATTCAAAAAAACAAAAACAAAAACAGAAAATAACAAGTATTGGCAAGGACGTGAATACTGAAAACCTTTCTACACTGCTGGTCAGAATGTAAAATGATGCACTGTAGAAAACAGTTTGGTGATTCCTCAAAAGCTTATCATAGGGCTTCCCTGGTGGTGCAGTGCTTGAGAGTCTGCCTGCCGATGCAGGGGACACGGGTTCGTGCCCCGGTCCGGGAAGATCCCACATGCCGCGGAGCAGCTGGGCCTGTGAGCCACGGCCGCTGAGCCTGCATGTCCGGAGCCTGTGCTCCACAACAGGAGAGGCTACAACAGTGAGAGCCCCGTGTACCGAAAAAAAAAAAAAAAAGCTTATCATATTATTCCCATATGATATAGCAATTTCATTCCTGGGTATAAACCCAGAAGAAAACAGGACTCTGATCCTTGTATTCAGATACTCACCATAGCATTATTCAGCCAAAAGATGGAAACAACCCAAGTGCCCGTGAACTGACAAACAGATAAACAAAATGTGGTGTATACATATGATGGAATATTATTCAGCCATAAAAAGGAATAAATTCTGACACATGCTATAACATGATGAACGTGAATGAACCAGGCACAAAAAGTTCAAATAACTGTATGATGCCATTTAAGTGATATATCTAGAATAAGCAGATTCATAGAGACAAAGTAGATCAGAGGTTACTGAGGTGGGAGGGTTGGGGAGGTGATGCCTGAGAAGTACAGAGTATCTTTTTGGGCAAAAAGAAGTTCTAAAATTGATTGTAGTGGTAGATAAACAACTCTGAGGTTATAGGAAAAGCCACTGAATCGTACACTTTAGATGGGTGAATTTTATGGTATGTAAATTAAATCTCAATAAAGCAGTTAAGGAAAAAGAAAAAAAGGGCCATAATGCACTGATTCAGGACCTGAACTTCAGGGGGAAAAGATCTGTATGTTTTACTCTATAGGACATTTTTACTCTACAGAGAAAGTCATCAGGGGATGAATTTACCTTCTGTTCATGTGGTCGGCAAGTTCATCAGATACTTTTTAGCTCTGAGCTACTGAAATTTTTTGCTTTCATAATTTGAAAACATTACACAGGAATAAAATGTTTTCAGGTAGTTTTAAATACCCCCCAAATGCCTGAAACATGAAAATACTGGAATCAAAAATATAACAAATTTATTGAATAATTATATAATTTCTTTTGAAAATAAACTAACCAAACATTAATTCTGTTAAAAATATGGCTTGTCTGAGTCATTTCTGTTCTTGCACGGAATGATACCAATACGTTTTCCACATGAAGAATGTGGTAGGCTTTCAACAAATGTGTGTATATATATATGTATGTTTACATATATAGAGATTTATTATAAGGAATTGGCTCATGTGATTATGGAGGCTGGCAAGTCCAAACAGAGCCAATGTCCTAGTTCAAGTCCAAAGGCCAGAAGCTCTGTAGAACCAGGAAAAGCTAATGTCTCAGTTCACAGGTCATCAGGCAGGAAGTTATGTTTCCAAGGCCTTTGACTGATTGAATGAGGCCCACCCAGATTATGAAAGGTAATCTGTTTTACTCAGGCTACCAATTTAATTGTTAATCTCATCCAAAAATGCCCTCACACAAGCACCCAGAATGTTTGGCCAAAATATATGCGTACCCTGTGGTCCAGCCAAGTTGACACATAAACCATCGCATGGGAAGAGTAAATAAAATCACAAGCTTGAATATTAATAGGTCTAACCAAAAGCTAGGTAGCTAGGTATGTTATAGACAAGCATATTAGTTTTGGTGTCAGAGGCCCTCAGGCAAATTATTTCATCTCAGCCTGTTTTCTATTCTGTAGATAGGAATAATATCACTTTCCTCAGAGAGCTAATATGGTTACATGAAATAATGTCTATAAAGCTCCCAGCATACTGTCTGATGCATATTTCATACCAGGAACTTTTGAAACTAAATACACTATTTTAATGCTAAAAATTCCATCTTATTGACTTCAGCCTCTTGAGGCTTTTAAAAGTTTACATCAGTCAGAATAATAAATTGTCCTCTGAGGTTTATATAGAGCTGGCAATGAGCTACTAAGTTTAAAATTTTTTCTGAAGTCTTTAAGAAATGTTTATGCTCTGAGCTCTTCCCCAATCTCTCCCATGAAGCAGAGCAAAAAGAAATATAAAATGGGATGATTTTCTTTAAAAGCCACTCTTGAAAATAAGATGAACTTCTCTGTGGACCCTACCGGGCAACAGAAACTATAAGCAGAGCAGAGCTGCAGGCCTGTGAGCTCCAACATTAGCAGCTATAAGTTTGGTAGAGGAATTAACTGAAGTGTCCATAGACGGCTCAGTGCCTGAAATCAGGGTTAGCCCAAGCTGATGGCAATTAAATAAAACTAGAAATCAACTAACATGCTTTTTCTAACTTAAAAAAAACATACATGGGGGAGGCAGGGAGAGGAACTCACACAAAAACCAAAGTAGTACAGATCACACTCATGACACAGCCAAAACAGGGGAAGTTACAGGGAATCTTAGCTTGAGATCAAGCAAACAGATCAAAAGAATAGAGAGCTCAGACTGAGGCATTTATATGGCAATCGAATGACATGTAGCATTTGAAATATGGTATTTGGAGGAACACCTATACACATACAAAACAAGACCCGAAAATTAAACCATAAGCAAAAAGAAATTCAGGTGGATTAAACACCTAAACATTAAAAACAAACTTTTTTAACTTTTGGAAAGACATATAGGAGAGCATCTTTATGACATTTCCTAGACAAGACCCAGAAAGCACTATTACGAAAGATTGGTGAGATTAAATTAAAATGAAAAACGTTTATTCAAGGAGACTCTATAATCAAATACAAAAATAAACCACAGACTACAAAAGATAGTTGAAACATACATAATGGATCATTAGTTAGTATTCAAAATATGTAATACCTACAAATCCATAAGGGAAACACAAAACATAACAGAAAAATGGACAAAAGGTATGGTCTGGGAAATCACACTGCATCTCCTCAATAGGCTGGTACTTACACAAGTCAGCACTATTCAACGTGGGAGACTCTACAGGGCCATGGGTATCAGGCGAGAGAAGACCACTGGGGCCCTCTGGAGGCTGGTTACTACATACACAAAATAGTACAGTTTTTTTTTTTAAACTGAAGTATAGTTGATTTACAGTATTAGTTTCAGGACAGTACTTTGTAGTGTTTTGAAAACATGCATACGTATTAAAAATACAAGAACGCAAACTAGAATATGCACCACCTCTAGGACAGAGGTTATCTCTGGGGAGAGAAGAAGGGGATGGGATCAAAGAGGTAACAAAACAAGCTTCAAATGCATCTAACATTTACATACATGCATAGATCTGAAGAAAACATACCAAATGCTAATTCAGTAAATCTGCATGGTGAGAATACATGGGTGTTCTTCAAATCATTCACCTTTCCTGTTAGGTTTGAAATATTTCAGTAAAAAGTTTTAAAATAATGAACCCGAAGAAATGGAAAGAACATTTGGTTTGAACAAAAGTTTATTTTTGTACATTTTAAAAATTGCAATTTTCATGACACATAAGAAAAACAGTTTTCTAATATCAAAATAAGCATCTCTTTGGTAATAGGAACACACCATATGTGTTATCCTTAACTTAAAAAAATTAATCAAGAACCATGACCTAATATGCTAAACAAAACTATCCTTTGCCCATCCATGTGTCCCCTTTCACAGGCCCATTGTGAGGCTTGGGAATATAGTTCTGTACATACCTCCTTACCTACAAAGAAGTAAGATACTGTATCGGAGGCATCCAGAAGTTACACAGCAAGAGAATTAGTTGGTTCAATCACTGACATGTACAACACAAACCCACCAAAAAAGAGAAGGAGAGAGAGAGGGAGAGCAACGTAAGATACGGGACAAGTAAAATAGAACACTGTCATGAAGATCAAATAATAGGAAAATAATTACATATTTAAATTTGATGCATTTTTAAAAAGTAACTTGTCTAGAATTATTATATTTAGAATTTAGAATTATTACTTGCCAAGCTCCAAAAGTAATAATACAGAGCCACAATTTTGATAAGGCACTTTAAAGAGAGCAAACATATAACAACATCAAATAAGAGAACTATCCATAAAAGCAGTTAACCTTAGGGAAAAAAAATAGGCATTCTTTCAAGACAGGTTTCAGTAAAAGCTTTTTTGGAAAGCATCATAGAAGGGTAAAAAATATTTATCATATATTTTAAAAAGCTGTCAACAGTTAAAGTTCAAAATCCTGTTTAAAAAAAAAGATAACATTTTCCTTCAGGTCAATGAGGTTCTGACTCAAATATCTTTTCGAGAAACAATTATAATCTTTATGCTAAAGACAGGAAGAAAAAACAGCTTTTAATTACGTTGTCAACT